GTGGAAGCAGCAAGAATAACTTCCGGTCGTGGGACGACGAGCTAGTGTTGAAATGTTCATTCCAGGTAACAAATTCTCAATGCGAAACGCAATACTTCTAATTTGTTGCCCTTCTTCATTTTGTGCTTTTGAGTTTCCATCTTTACATACAGGATAAGTATCTCAAAAAGAAAAATTTTCATAGATGCCTTTTTTATTTGAGTTCGATTTTACTCCTACAACATTTCCAAATCGCATCATATTTTTATACATCGAACTTAGAAATTTTTTTCTAACCATCGTAGAATTTTTTATGCGCAGTTTTGCTTCTAAATTGCTGAAGGTAACTTTCAAGGCACCCATAACTCTGAGAGTTTAGAAGGATTTTGGAAGTTTGTAACAGTTTAGCTGTGATCTTTTAACGAAATCCTCCATCTAGGCTTTGATTCCCGCATTTGATCCGCGTCCTGGTCGCACGAATGTCAACCAGACCCAAGATGTAGAACTTCCTGCGGTGGTTCCTGATCCAGCACAATCGAAGCCTGCGACTGTAAGTGTGGGTGCAATTACTCGTTTGACATTTTTCCCATGTAAATTTCAGTTTAAAATAGGTCAATTGAACTTGGCTATTAGGCTTATTCATCTCCGCGCAGTGACAATGCACTAATCTAAAAACATCTTTCTTCAGTCCGACGAGACATCTTTGCGTCTGTTCTTACGCGGCCCCAATATGAGCGGAGTTGAGAATGTTACCTTAGAAATGGCTGCTGACGATCACAGCCTGTTCTATTATGTTCAGTCTCTTGTCGGAGCAATTGACTGGGGGACGGTAAGTCAAGCTGTTTTTATTTGTTTACATCTGAATCAGCTGTTTGAAGAAATGCGAGCGCAGCCGTCGTGTATGGGAACCAACATACACTTTGATTTACGAGGATGCATCCCTACCGTACGTGACAAAGTTCAGCCAAATAAGCTCGGATTACAGCAAAGTGCCACCAGCGGTCAATGAAGTATGTGACTTTTTTTTTCAAAATGCACCGTCAGTAACAATTTTTTAGTGTTTGGAAGTCATTGGTTTGCTTTCACGTATTGGAGAAAGATTCCCTGATGCTCAATTGTCTCCACAGGTCTTCATCAGTGATAAGCTTACCCAGAAGCTTACACAGGTTTGGTTTTTTGATAATATCGGAATTGTTCTGAAACATGCATCATTCCGTCAAATCCTTGAAATAAATCATAAATGAGTGTTTAGGAGCTTTCCGATGCTTTGGTAGTTGCAGCTAGAGCGATGCCAGATTGGTGTGAACGCCTCATCTACACATATCCATGTCTCTTTTCGGCAGAAACCAAGTAAGTTGCTTTTGCATTTTACCTTCTTTAAATCACAATTTTATTTTAGAAATTGTTTGGTTATTTGTAGGAACATGTACATGCAAGCCACTGCATTTGGGGTGTCGCGCACAATTGTATGGCTGCAATCTCGCCGCGATGCTGCTCTTGACAGAGCCCGTGGTGCCGCTCAAAGCGCTACTAGCAGTGCTAGCAGGCCGCACGATCGTTACCAAGAATATCGCGTTGGTCGCTTAAAGCATGAGCGGATAAAGGTCAGTCATTTTTCTAGTTTTTCAATAAAGGAAATCAACGTTACAACTTTCTAGGTGACTCGCTCCGAAGAACATCTTCTTGAGCAAGCAATTCGTGTTATGAAATTCCATGCTGATCGCAAGGCAGTTCTAGAGATCGAGTACGTTGGCGAAGAAGGAACTGGTTTGGGACCAACCCTGGAGTTTTATGCCTTGGTAAGTAAGGGCTCTTTGATCTATTCAATCTCTTATAATGCTAAGGCAGCCTCATAAAAAGTGTAAAATTGAGCCGTTGCCCTGATTTTCCATCGAAATTAGTTCAGATCTCCATAATTGTGGCTATAACCTGAGGCATATTGAAAAAGAAACGGCTTGTGATCTTAGTAACAAATGTTCAATCTCACACAGATTTTTGACCTTCTACTATCACTTCTTGCTATGCATGTATCCTATATGTTCAGGTTGCTGCTGAGTTGCAGCGAAAGGCTCTGGCAATTTGGCTTTGCGATGACATGGATGAACATCAGCTGAAAATGGAAGAACGTGAACTAGACCTAGGCGAAGGAAAGAAACCTCCAGGGTCAGATATAAGTCTTGAAAGTCTTTCTCGTTGTTTCTCTACATCATGATACTATTTTGAACACGCTATTAATTTGTAGCTTCTATGTCCGTCGTGCTGGCGGTCTTTTCCCTGCTCCTCTCCCACCTCATACTGATGAAGTGCGTAGAGCTTCAGAGATGTTCCGAGTTCTTGGCATATTCATGGCTAAAGTGAGTTCTTTTGATTATCTATATCTAACCTCAAGTATATTAGGTTCTTTTGTAGGTGTTACAAGATGGAAGACTGGTTGATTTGCCATTGGCGCGGCCATTCCTAAAGCTCATTGTATCTCCACATCTTAGTGAGGCAGAGGAACCATCTTTGGACCGCATTCTGTCTTTGGATGATTTTGAGGAAGTTCATCCGGTAAAAGGTTGGCTCATTGTAGATCTTTTGCAATCTCGTCTAAACTAGAAATGGAACACAACCAGGTGGTTTCCTCAAAGAACTGCGAGCACTAGCACAAAGAAAGCGTGCCATCGAGAATGAACCAATGTTGGATCGGGAAGCGAAGAGGCGAAAAATTGATGAGCTGAAATTATGCATTCATGGGACGCGCTGCCGCGTTGAGGACTTGGCTCTCAATTTCACGTACGGACATCTTCTTTCATTATAAATTTTATGCAATGGTAATGGTTATGTCTTGTAGTGTTAATCCTCCTTCTTCTGTGTTTGATTATGAAGAAATGGAGTTAGTCGAAGGAGGAGCAGACATGGACGTTACAATGGACAACGTTGAGCTCTATGTTCAAAAATGTGCTGACTTCTATTTGAATACGGGAATAGTAAATCAGGTATGTTGTCATGCTTGAAAATCAGAACTGCATCATGGGTATGTTACAGATGCGCGCATTCCGCGACGGATTTGATCGAGTTTTCGGACTGCGGGCTCTTCGCTCATATAGCCCGGAGGAGGTTCAGGTACTTT